CTTTAAATGTAAATATAAAAATTTTAAGTGTTAGATATATAAATGTATATGAATTTTGTGGTATGAAAACTTAACCTATTATTTAAATGGTGGTATAGATTCGGACTTTAGCTTATTTACTTTGAGATAATGAATTATCAAAACATATCTCAAAACAATTTAATGAAATTGAAATCTACTTTTTTACCTTTTTTGAGTAAATTTATTTTGTGTGAGGATTTTCTAATGAAAGATGGTCACTATGAGTCTTAACTCGTATTTTCTTAAAGATGAGGGAAATATACGAGCAATCAAATAAAATTTATGTTTTATTAGTTTTAAGAAAATCAATGGATATAAATCCACTCTAGCTATATTTTTCTCCTTTAATTTAAAAAAAAAAAAAAACCTATCATGACATATGGATCTAATGACATATGGATCTAAATCCATTGAAGTTGGTTTGAGATGAGAAGAATACGTTGATGATCAATTAAAACTTGTATTGCATATATCTAAATCCAAATTTAATGGATATAAAACCTATCCCAACTAAATGTTTCATTAGTGTACCATGTTTGTTCTTTATTTACTTAGCTTGATCATTTAGATTTTATAGTTGAGGCCATCGAGAGTGAAGATAAGTAACATGAAGTATAATGTCATTGTGGGCACAACGTCAAGACCAATGACAATCAATTTGGTGTGTGGTGCTTCAAATCCTTGTGAAGGAGTTGAGTTGAATAATATAATCTCAAGTACATTTAAATTGGTGAAACTCAGTCTAATTGTATCAATGTTAGGGCACCTATGGTCATCAACACTGCCAAACCCATAAATTGTGCCTATTAATTATTATTGTATAGCTTTTTTTTTTGTTGTGTTCTCCTTGCAATGGCTTGTTAATTTGTGGATGCTTATATATTCATTTGTATTTATCATTATGAATAATGAGATAGAATTTTTGAACTAACTTTACTTCTATGAATTATCCCATTTTATCATATGATAATATGACAAGGATTGTTTTATATCTTTTTCCTTTAGTATTTATCACTTATAATTCAAGTTTTTGATAGTCAATGTTGAAGGATGTAAGTGGGAATATTCTTCAACTATAGTTTCACTTGATGAATGATGCAAGTGGTGTTATTCTTCAATTATAGTTAAACTTGTTGCATCAATATTTGATTTTTACCAGAATATTCATGGAAATGGAAGAGGAATATATCATCTTAGATTTATGCAAAAAATTTCTGCACATAGATAAATGATCTACACGACACGAGACCCAAGAAATGTTACGTGTGAAATTTAGAAAGAGAACCTACAATGAATTACAATTAAAATTGCTTTGCCATGTAGATTGAAGATTATAAATTATTATTTTTTTCTATAGCTATAATTGACACGAATATATGGCTTTAATTATGAGGGATATCTTTTATAATATTGGTGAATATTATTGGATGACAATAAAGTTCAAAGGAAGATGACATATAAAGGACATCAAAGTCAATTAACGTTTTTGAAGAGTGTCGAGTTTGAGAATATACAATAGTGGGTATTATATCAATCAACAAAATTTAACATTAGTAACAATGAGTGTTAAATGTCAAGCCATAACATTAGTAACAATGAGTGTTAAATGCCAAGCCATGAAAAGAGTCGATATTTTAGCTCTTGTGCACCCTTTGAATCTCCTACGTAGATAGGGCCAAAATTTGCTCATTTGAGTAACAAAACTAATAAGCTTTTTCCCTCGTAAAGTTTAGGCTATTAGACTAAAACCTTATCTTTAATATAAGGAAGGAATTTATTATAAGCTCATAACTCTAATCAATCCCATGCTAATTTTTACGAAGTAATCCTTGGCAATAAAATTATCATTTTATCACTTTTTGTTTTGTATCATTATAAACATTGGCTTTGCTTGGCTTTATTTTCTTTTATTTTTTATATTTTTTATATTTTTTATTTTATAAAAATCATTCTCTTTTGTTACAACCCCAATAAAAATCATTTATTTTTTGTCTTATCATTGTGCCCTTCATTTTTTTTGAATAAGTCTCTCTTTTGGATTGTAGGAACGACTAGAAGTAGAGAGAAACAAGAAAAGACGGACATACAACAAAAACTACAAACAAGAGAAAGAAAATATGAAAAGTTTACGTGCGATAAATCTTACAAGAATTGGTCTAGTATGTATGCCCAAATAAGATCAAGCGAAACCCCATTGAACCAATACCCACGAAAGAATACCTACGTAGACTACCAATAACCAGAGTTTCAGGTGTGATTCCCTATTATGGGATCTAAAGTACTTCCAAGGAGATGTATCCCACTTGGTTAATTACATCCTGAGAGTAGTGACAACTAACGCAGGGCTATCAAAGGATGGTTATTTAGCATGAGAATGCTCCTATGCTTTCAAAGCTGCCGCTAAGCCACGAGGCAAAGAGTGAGTCTCTCACGGTCTCACATAGGTAGCGAAAATAAGTTAGCATTTAAAGCATTACATTGTTCCTCTCTATTACATGTGCAGTGAGTATTTTAGGCATGTCTCCCTGCAAGAAGACTGACCTAATTTTACACTCTAAGAGGAAGTGACCCAAAGAGTGGGTGTATTTCAAATTCAATTTAAGAATCTAATACCATCTTTAAATTACATGTCGCTTGTTTGATAGCATATCACATAAAATAGGAAAAAGTTGGTCAGGCTTCACATATGCATGTTTGATCCTAATTTTATATATATAAAAGAATTCTGAATTAAGTTACGAGACAAGTGCATTCCACTCATGGTCTCTGTCACATGGTTTTGCCGATCAGGTGTCTTAAAACCGTGCTCGTATTTTGTTTCTGATACAAACTCTACATAATGCCTTTGAACAACACAAGGTAAAAAGCCTAAGATAAAAACTAAACCCGTAAAACAATGAGGTTAGTACAAGTTATAACATGCAACATGAAATAACCAATGTCGGGCGGGAGTACAGCTAAGCAAGCACTTAAAGAAAATGCATTAGTCTTTAATGATTAAGCTCTCCATGATGGACATGACACTCTGCAAGTTTCACACCAAATAAAAACACAAAGAAACACACAAAAAATGCCCAACCATGGCACAAATTAAAGAACAATAGCCATACATATGAAAAGCTTAGTTGCACCCTAGCCATAGTCTAGCAAACAACTAGAAGCAAAGTGGCCTGATTACAACATCTAAGTGCGTGCACGATGTGAGTGAAAGGCTGAAGCATGTTTTTGTTGGTGTCGCCGACCCCGACCCCATCCTAAGAGATTTAGGAATTCTAAAAGTTTCCTCTTTCATATAATTAATAAAAATACTTTTTTTTATACTCTTAAAATAGTTCCAAGCAAAAGAAAAGCTTAAGTGAGGCATATTAGACCTCTTGGAACATTAACACCAACATACGCGTGTTGATCGCAATGCAATAATTCACATTGCTCGATGAGATATGCTCACGAGTAATGCTCATAAAAGTATCACAACCAACAATGCGTCACTCAACTAACAAGTATAATTTGTCATCGAGACAATCGGGTAATGCACATACAAATGCAAATTGATCTAGTGCAATGTGATTATTCCATTGAGGTAGGAACGATCACCGAATATCAAATATTTGTCATAAGTATATGATGACTATACGAATGACGAATATGCCAATCGTGCGAAGATGCAAATGCAAAACACATATCACAAGTGATGTTGTGTTGGACTACGTAGGGTATAAGATACCACAAGGGAATTACATCTTGCCCCAATAGTGACAAAGCACACAAAAAAATGACAATCACACACAATGTGTAATACACCATGCAAATAGGCAAACACACGCTCCATGCAGAAAGCACAAGCTGGACTTTGCCGTGGATGATAAGTAGTATGACTCGTGCACTAAACGAGTTCAAAGGTTAAGGAACGTGACAAGGGTTAGGTGAGAGTTGTGTAACTGAGTGGAAATACATCATGCACTAGACGAGTTTAGAGGCTAGGAAACGTGACCCGTGCCAAGTGACACGATGTGAACAAGTGTACAAACAATATGCACTTGATATGTTGAGGGGCTGAGGAGCGTGTCGTATACTAAGTGACACAATGTGCACACCTATGATATTTCTATGTAGTGTTGTAGGAAGTGACATTAGTGTAATTCTTGTTAGGGAAAATTACACATCGGGCCACCCCCTCACAAGATATGTGAATTGAGTGTGTATGAACACAAGTTGATGTGCAGACTGTCCAACATGCAAATCATCAACACACGGGAAACTATGAGTGATAAATATACAAGGGTGAAAAAGTGCAAGTACAAACAAGCATGACGTGACACATAGTACCATGAGAATGTCAAAAAAGCAAATGCACATAGTAATTTGCACAAATACTAGCTATGAGCATATAAGAATAAATGCTCACAAGTTCACATCAGGGTGCTGACGCGAATGTGTTAATGCAGTCAATGTGAAAAACACGCAACAATGCAACAAGCAAGTGAGATTGATCGATCAATACAAAGCGTGGTCAGAGAACATTCTCACGGGGCTTTACATGCATACCACAAATTCCTATCTATTTACATATCTAACAACTAAACTCTGCGTTTTGCAATTATAACACTCAAATATATTATATCACATTAACTGTTAAGTAAAATTTTTGTGATCAAATAACTTAAATAAAATTTATTGAATAAAAAGAAAAAAATACATTGAATTTATATGCATATTAATATTAAATTATTATATATAATTAAATAAATAATTAAATAATTTTTTATTTGATTAAATTTTATTTAAATAATATTTATATAAATATAGAGTGCCTAACAAATTGTTTATTGAGCTTTGTTCTTAAATCTTAATAAGAGTAGCCTATCTTTAAATTTAATTAACATTCACTTAATCTTCAAATTAATTTTCTTTTAAATGTATTTATTTACTAATTTGAGCCGAATTCGAGTAATTCTTACAGCTATAAATGCTTGAGGGAGGGGACGCTTTGTCGATCTTTCCCTTCTTCGTTTATCCGCCGGCTTTTGGTCGACGAGCTGCGCAACCCTCTTGTGATCGATCCAATGGCGGAAGATCTGATGCTCGACACCGCTATAAGGGATTGGGTCCTAGTTCCTCTATCGGTGGTTATGGTCCTTATCGGTGTGCTCCGCTATTTCGTTTCCAAGCTTTTGCGATCTTCCCAGGCTCCCGACGCGAAAGTCGTCAGAGAAGGGCGAGTTCTCAATTCTCTCAAAAACCCCATACCTCGTGCTCTTCTGTTGCAGGAACTGAGAGGGTAGCGGTCTTTTGCTGATTGGCTTTTTATCTCTCGCAGGCAGTTGATTCTTAGGGCAAGGAACCTCAGAGCAGCAGGGGGTTTTATTCCCGTAAAGCCGTTCCGTGCTCGGAAATTTTACTATACCAACGAGGTGGTTTGATTATCCTAGGTTTTTTTAATAGCTTTACATTTTACATGTAGCTAGTTTCTCCATATCTTGATTTGGGTTATACATTTGTTGTTAGCAGCCCGTTACTTATATTGAGTTGCTTTTTGTGTTTTTTCTTAAAACATATTTCTTCTTTCTGTTGTTTTCTGTTGGGAGAAGGTTTGTTTAGTAGATCTCAATAATTTACTCTCTTGGTGTCCTTTGCGTGCAAACTTTCCAGCAAATTTGTGCACTTTATCAACATAATTCTAGTAGAGGTAGCATTTTTGTTCATCTCGGTTTTCTAAGGATGCTGCAAAATAGTATTATTGTTTGTTTCAGCCTTGTATGTAAAATGCAAAACCAACTCTATGTAAATTACATGCCAACATTAAGAGTAAAAAACTAAAGTACATTCTAAGGGTATGTTTGGGGCAGCTGCAGCTTATCCAGCTTATGCTGATAAGTAGCTTATCCTGATAATCTGCTGATGACCAGCTGATCTGGATAAGCTGACTCGCTGTTTGGCTTGTGCGTTTGAAAAACAACTGATTATGGATAAATGACCAATCTGCCCCTGATCTGAAAAAAATTGTTTAGCTGTTTGATTAGTGCGTTTGCAAAACAACTAATTTGCAATTTTTTTTTGGGTAAATGACTATTCTGACACTGGGCAATGTTGCTGTTTGTAATAGAATTGTAACGGCTAAATAAAAATTTAATTCACTAGCATCATTTATCAATGGTCATTGAACAATATATTTCAAATAACCCTAAAAGAAGGGAATTACACTGTAAAAAAAAAAAATTGATTAATTTTATGTAAATTCAAAGATATCAATATCATCACAGTTCCAAGAGTACAATAAATCTTAGCCATTACTAATTCAATTTTCTTCAATTCTTTCAAAACAAAGGTGTAGCTAAAACTGACATTTTATATAAATTTGAATTTGTTACTTCAAATGATTAATTATTGTATCAAATGCCAAAGAAAGTTGTGTAGTACAAATTGATCAGAATGAGATCCAATTTAAGTATGTAAAAAATGAATTCTTGGTAAGAAAAATGATGGGGTAACTGGATGGTCTCCTAAATATTAAAACATAATAGAACTAGGCCGAAACTGAAATTGAGACAGAATTGTGTTTTTCATATGTTATGCTATAGCATTACCCCTATGCATAAGAAATGAAGTGTCTGCAACTAAAATACCCAGTTTTTTTTTCTCACAAATGATACATACATCAAACATAAATAACAACAAAAATCACCAAATCATGGAGTTGATAAATTCAAGGAATATGATCGACAAATTAAAAATAATCAATTTCTATCAACATTGTGAGACAAGCATCATCCCCAAAAATGAGAGAGAGAGCTCCCTGATTGTGGTCAGATATATTTTAGAACCTATAAATGAAATGATATTTAGATTACTTCACCAGTTAAAGTATTGAAAATTCATGAGAACTTTAAAATGTATTTAGAATATAGTGTATTTGGAATTCAAGTATTTAGAATTCTTGTGTTTGGTTTGAACTAGTAAAAATTAATCCAAACTAAGAACAAACAACATAGGGCATGATATCAAAGTCGCTACTGGACCTCGCAGTGGCAGGGTAGGGCCATCAGTGTCTCATGGGGGCAAGAGCTTGTTGGGAAAAAGTAGGAATCAACAAGAACTCACAAGGATAGCTATTGACAAAAGCTCTTGAGGCCAAGCATCGCAGAAAAGAGGAAGAACAAGGGCATTTTTATATAGGAAGAACGAAGAGGAATGAAGAGGAACGAAGAGGAGGTAGGGCGCGATACTTTCCTTGGTCGGAGCGGTGCGGAAGGATGAGAAAGATGGGAGTTTCGGTGGTCTCTGTAACGAGTAATCCGATTTCTTCCTCGCGGGAGAGAAGGCGAGCGATCCCTTCGTTGCCATGACAGATTCTTCGTCGTGGGCGGGAGAGAAGGCGAGCGATCCCTTCGTTGCCATCGTGGATTTTTCGTCGCGAGCGGGAGAGAAGGCGAGAGATCCCTTCGTTGCCATCGAGGCTTTCTTCGTCGCGGGCGGGAGAGAAGGGATCGCGAGAGATCCCTTCTAGGGGAGGAGGCAATAGAGGAGAAGGCGGGGGGGGGGGGGGTCGGGAAATTCGCGGACAGAGTTTTTGGAACGTTATTTAAACGTATTTTTCAAACAGCGGGTGGCGTTTTCAAAACGCCACTGCTGTAAATAAGCTCCCCCAAACGCACCCTAAATGACACTTCAAACTCTCTAATCTGCATAGCTCTACGTTTTAAAAGCGCAAAGTAATCTTTGTTACACTCCATACTATTGGTCTAATTGTGGCAGTGACAATTTCCAATAAAATTAGTCATAAAATTATTGTGAAAAAGATTTTTTTCTAAAGCTATTGTGTTATTTTAACCAGTTTATCTTTTATAGAAAGTAAACTAGATTTTTGACAGCTATAACATTTTAGTGAATATAGTCATAAAAAGTTATTTTTCACGGCATAAATTAAAAAATAAATGGATGTTAAATGACACAGCCAAAACATTACCAAAATATCGAGGGAACGGAAAGAACCTCGACATATGTGGCTTAATAATCACATATTGGAATAGTGTTAACTTTAGAATAGATAGCCATTTTGGTAGCATTGACATGAAAATGTGTAGCATGATATAAAAACCAACTTTATGTGGGGACCAATCTCTGTCTAACATCATTTGATAGCTGAAATAAATTTATTTGGTTTAGGAAAATGGGCTTCTACATGTCTCAAAAGGCCAAGCTCAGAATCCTCAAGCACAAATGTTTTCCGATCCAAACATGGCTATGGATATGATGAAGAAGAACCTTTCAATGATCATTCCACAGGTAATAAAATTGATTCTGTGGAATATATGTATTGGTAGTTACTAATTTTGGCTTCCATGTTCCTTTCAGTCACTTACTTTTGCATGGGTGAATTTTTTCTTCTCTGGTTTTGTGGCAGGTATGCTCTTTCTTGAGTTCTTTCTTTTGGTGAGAAATACCAGTCCTGTTTTTAACACTATATATATTTTAAAATGAAATCATGGACTTTAAGATACATGCACTAAGTGCACATTCATCCTTGCAAGTATATAAACACGATTTCACGTTTTGCTTGTATGCGCACCCTTTGTGGTTTATTAAGTGTCACATTTGGATTCATTTCATGAAATTTTACATAGATTTATGATTTTTTTTTCAACCTTACGCCAACCCTTGACTTTTATTATATAGGCTTTGGATGGGTGATAATGGTTTTATGCTAAAGGAGCTACTTTAATGATGTGTTTTTTATGCTTAGACAACCAATAAATAGTGAAGAGCAAAGAAAAGAATTTTCATATGGTTTTCAAATATGCTGAAAGGGCATATGAATGAGTAATAAATTAACTATTTAGAACATGTGTTGAAGTTATCAAATATTTGTATGTTGGAAAATGATTAATTCAAAGTTCATGGTTTTTTTTTATTGGGTTTGGAGATGCTTACCAAAGATATTTGTAGTCACATACTTTGTTGTATACTATTTACAAATGATGATTATTAGTAAGTGAATCTCTTTCTAATTAAGTAAATTAGAACAATAAATGTAATATTTGGAAGTTAAAGGCTAAGATGTGGAACTTGGTTTGTAATTTTGTTAGATCCTGTTGCAGGAATATCAAGTGGCTGTTATGTGCTAAGTTATTTTGACTCTATCATACAAAACTATGAAACACGAATATTGTTAATGTCTAGGTGTGCCATATTAGGCACGTGAACTATGATAATTTTAGAAACTTATTTCTGTCATGACCTGAACTGGGCCTTGGAATCAAACAAGACGATAACAGATGGTTTGACGCTATTTATCAAACTTTTAATTTTATTTTCTATCACTCTTAATGATTCAAAAAGGGAAAATGAAAGAGCAACTAGAATTTAAATTAAAGCAGTTATAAATTTACTTTAGGTCAGGTCATTCACACTGTCTATAAATATTTTCTCTTATATTATTCATTCTTTAATCAATAAATTAAACCTGAAATATTTGATTAAAACAACAGTGAGTTAACCAAAGCCAATGAATACTCATATTTCTAGACTATAGTATCATAATGAGAAATGTTAGTTTACAACAACATTGAGTTAACAAAAGCCAATTAATACTCACATTGTTAGACTATAGGAATATTGCAAGAAAAAAATAATATGCATGCCGATGCCGATTAATGTTTTAATAAATCAATAAAATATTTGATAGTTTATGAATATGATTATTTGCAATATTTCATAATATTTAAGGTGTTTTACTATATAAATAACATGCCTATTTTATTTTATTTCTGTACAATAGTCTCAAGTGCACCGTTTAAAAATTATACTAGTTAAGATACTTTAATAACAATATATTTTTCAATTTATGTGGACGGGTCTTAGTATTCCTTTGCTAGTATTATATAGGGGCGACTTCATCATAGTGAATCAAGCACATACAATCAATCTTTGCAGTTCATATTATTCACAATTTTATATCACTCAATATGCAATATTTAATATTCATAATGAGAGTATAAATATTTATATTGAATTGTTGATAAAATTTAAGAATAGAGAAATTAATTGCATTAATCAAGCATGAATAATAATTCATACAACTAGTTTAGAAGAAATACAAGAATGATGCTATAATTTAAGAATAGTAGTACTCACCTCAATTCCACATGAAGTACTTTTATATTTCCAATCTTTTATTTTAACTTCGCCTTCTTTAATTTAATACCTATAAAAATATTCACAGTAATTAATCAACTGCCTAAGTGATCATTTTATGCATATATCAACGCTCAATTATTTGATTTAATATATACTAATTCATTCAAATCCTAACATTTTCATTTCTATTTATTTTATAGTTAGCTTTATTTAATATTATTCTTATGTATATGTATTTACTTCTGACGTAGTTAAAATAATTCTAAATTTAAAATTTATCTTAAATATACTTCACTTAATCTCTAATTTAATTAAACCATTTATTAATAATTAATAATTGAACATATATACGAAATTCATAAATTAATATTTTTAAAATCCTTACCTCTACTACTATTGAGATCAACCTTGCTTGGCTACACAAAACAATTTGGATTATTATCCCATGCACAAGTATCAAGTGCTTCGAAGCTCTATTTTTTTCTCTACTTGAACCTGCAAGCTAGGGCGGAAACACCCCCATCTCCCTTCTTCCTTACATAAGCTACACAATCCTCCTCCTCTTTTTCTTCTGGAATTCGCATAGAAAATGCTTGGCTTGATCTTCTTCCTCTCCTGTCCACAATGTCGCTCGCACGTGAAACAGCTTGGCTCACTAGGGTTTCAGCTCCTCTTTTCCTCACACGGGACACTCGCCTTGTAGACACTACCACACGCAATGGCTTGGTCGATCTTTCTCCTTGACTTTGTCTCTTCACAACCGCCAGCTAGGATTCATCCTTATTTCCTCGATGCCGATCGTTTTCTCATTCGCACGACATCAAAACCTCGGTAAGAGAAGCACTCAACTCCTCTTCCTCCTCCTTATGCTCGCGTCGCATAGGACACCCACGATGCTTCCTCCTTTGGCTTCAACGCCTTCTCTTGGATGCGACGAAACCCTCAGCGATGAATCCAATGTTAACAAATGTTTTCTCCTTCTTCCACCCCTCGAAGCCGATTGCCATACTCCGTTTCAACAGTGCTGCCACTAGGGTTTCACACGTAAGTCTTCTTCTTTTGCTGTCGTTCTTCTCACTCGCCTTGCCTTCGCCTCTCATTCACGCCTTCGATTTCTTCCCCGATTCAAAAGAGACGTCCAGTACCCAATCGAGACGATGATTGGCTTGAACAAACATAGATCCAATAAAATCCATTTTTCATTTATTTCTTTGATTATATATATTACAGTTTCAGTAAAGCCTTTTGTCTTGTCTCATTTTCTTTTTCCCGTAAAAGTTTCAACACTTTCTAGAACCTTGTGGCAGACATCTTCGAGAGACATTGTATATGAAATAATACTATATGAAAGGTATGGTTTATTATATTTACTTTAAGGTTTCTATAATATAATATTATGATTTCACTCATACCATCTATCAGACAAAACTATGAACACGGATATTGCAAGTGTCTCATGTGTCATGTTAGGCACATGAACTCTGTTCACTTTAGAACATTGTTCCGGTCAAGCCTTTTGTCTTGTCTCACTCTTTTTTCCAAAACATTTCAACTCTTTCTGGAACCTTTGGCACACCTCTGGGACGCATTATATATGAAATAACACTAATTATGAGAAGTATGGTTTATTATATTTGCTTAAGGTTTCTATAATATAAATGATTTTACTCCTATCATTTGGCATGTTTTTTTTGAAAATCTTTTACAAGTATGAAGTATTTTAGAGTTGTTGAGTCTCATATAAGTATAATATTGTGCTAATGCTTATACGTTGTAGATAAAAAGATGAGAGTGCTGATGCGAACTTAACACGTGAAAAATGGATGTTCAAGAGGAAGTGTGTCTAAATTTATTTTGAAATTTTATCATTGTGAATTCAATGTTACACCCAAATGTATTTTCTTCTTCAAAGAAGTATATAACATGACTCCTTTATTTACAAAAATAGGGTTGCAAAATAAGTTCAATTTTGAAATTTTGTCAAATATTATTGTACTAATTCAAAATTTAACAAAAAATTATTAAAAAGATAATTCTTCCTAATTTAATGTAAAATGAACCTAAAAAATGCAAATGCCAATTTATGTTAAAATAAATCCTAAAATATTAAAAATAATTTAATTCTAATTTTTACGTTGCATAATTAATTATTTTAGTTATTGGGATTACTCAATTTGTGACAATCATTATTTCATCACTCATTTAGTTTATGGCAGATCAATATAGCGTTAATTAATTATTTCATCACTCATTTACATTATGACAGATCAATGTAGCATTAATTAATTAGAAACTGGTGAATTGCTATCAATTTATAAATTAATTATGAAATTTTATTAATGTATTAATTAAATAATTGCTAGTCAACCATAATCAGTCAATGAATTGATTTTGCACCAAATTAATCTTAACTGTTATTTTACTAAATAATTATTATTTAATCTTTTACCATTATTTATTAATCTATGTATTATTTTTTGTGGGAATGACAGTGAATATAAATCTTAGAACATGTTACTTAAAAGCAGTGACTTCATTACTATTTCATCAGTTATTTACTATTGTGCCAAGCAGTGTAGCATTAATTAGCCAGAAATTGATGAATTGTGCTCAATTTATAAAATAATTATGAATTTTATTAATTTATAAATTAATAAATTTATAATCAGCCATAATTGACCATTAAATTTACTTTTGCACGAATTAATCTTAAATAACATCATTGCTAATATTGTTAATGTTTAATTCATTGAACATTGTTAGTTAATCTATGTTTTTGTAGGGTGGGAATGTTGAGCAATAAATCCTTAGCACATCACTTGAACTCGTGACCTTGGAAAAATAACCTTCTCTTTTAACCACTAGGCCACACATACTTTCACGCTATGTAATTTATTTGTTGTCAAGACAACTTTTATACTTATCGTCTGCTTACATAGTTTTGTTTTATTGTTGTCTTATTGCATTAGAGCCAAATTTGTATTTAGTTGAAATAGTTTTAAACTATACCCATAAGATGGAGAGGTTTAACACTGATTGCATATATTAACTATCAAATGATTTTTCATCGTTAAAGCCAAATAATTTACAGTTTGGAGGATTAACTGTATTACACAAATCTAATTTATATAATTTTTTAACCTCCTTGCCCCACAGGGTGGTTGCCAATGATGAGAGCACAGGCATGAGCAGTAGCAACATATGCGCGCCAGTATTTTATCTGGATTGTTGTCTGCAAGGATTAATGTGCCAAAATGCTAATCTGAG